CAAATTCAAAACACAAAGATTTGAATGGAGGAGTAGTTTACCTGGAACAACTCTGACTGTCACAGGTACTGATCAACACACACTGATGGATATTTCATTCAGTTAAGTCATTTAATTAATAATGTGACTATTTTTGTTATTTCACACAGTTCTGCAGGTGAAGGTGAGCAGAATAATATCAGTCCATGAGTCTCAGACTGAGGCAGAGCTGAAGTGTGAAAGCAGCTGCAGTCCAGCTGGTCGTCTTTCTTTTGTCTGGTTCAAAAACAATCAGTTTATGGTTGAACGAAGTTCTTATCAAGGTCTGTTCAATCCTGGAGACATCATCTCCTGTGCTTTCAAAGGACATGAAGCTTATCGCTCAGATCCTGTGTGTAAGTTTACTTCATTGCGTTATGTGGTCATCATCCCAAATAAGTTTTTACATCTACAACCTTTTTTTTCACCAAACTGTTGGTTCAGATATTCAGCATAACTTACAATACTATACAATAATTTAAATTGTGTGAGTGTGTTACTGTACAAAGAGTTTAAAGGTGAGTGCAGCCAGGTTCATGAATCAGAAACATTTATTGACTTAGAGTAAGTTCAAAAAGAACAGTCAATGTGTTGAACAATGGTTTGACCATGTGGTGAAGAAAGCAAATAATTACATGAAAGACAGTAGTATTCTGAACAACACATAATCAAGATTAAAGAGGAACATCTACTTAAGGAAATAAGGTGACTTCATTATAAAGTTGCTGTGGAGAAGAGGTAGGAGAAGATGAGTTGACAAATCATTGCTTTTCCCCCATGCATAACAAAGCAATCTTAACCACCGCCTTGTCTCACCATTTATAGTCAGGGAAACATTGTTTGAACCCCTGCTGATTTTGTAAGTTTGCCCCTTACAAAGAAATGGTCAGTCTATAATTTCAAAGGTAGGTTTATTTGAACAGTGAGAGACAGAACAATAACCACCAAACCCAGAAAAATGTATTTCTAAAAATCCGGTCCAGTTGTCCTGTCCCCTTGGCAGAAAAAACACCCTGCAAGCATAATGTTTTCAGCTCCATGTTTGATGGTGGGGACGGTGTTCCTGGAGTCATAGGCACCATTCTTCCTCCTCCAAACACGGCGAGTTGAGTAAATGTCAAATATCTCAATTTTTGTCTCATCTAACCACAACACTTTCACCCAGTCCCCCTCTGAATTATTGAGAGGTTCAGTGGCACTTCAAACAGGGGATTGCAGGATTTCAGTCCTTCATGGCGTAGTGTGGTACCAACTGTTTTCTTGGTGACTCTGGTCCAGCTGCCTTGAGATCACTGATGTTCCTTCCGAGTATTTCTGGGCTGGTTCCACATCATTCTCATTATTACTGAAACTACATGAGGTGAGATCTTGCATAGAACTCCAGACCGAGGGAGAATGGCAGTTATTTTATAGTTCTTCCATTTGTGAATAATAATGTTGTCACCTTCTCACCCAGCTGCTTCGTGATGGTCTTATAGCTGATTCCAGCCTTGTGTAGGGCCAGAATTTAGATTTACCTGACATACTTGGGAAGCTCTTTCATCTTGGCCATGGTACAGAGTTTGGAATCTGGATGCACTGATGGCTTCTATGGACAACATCAGCTGTATAAAATACACCTGGGAGCCAGAAATCTTGCTGACTGATGGGGGATCAAATGATTATTTCCTTCATGAAAGTGCAAGTTAATTTATAACTTTTCTGAAATGCATTTTTCTGGATTTTTATTTCCATTATTGTTCTATCTCACACTGTTCAAATAAACCCACGATTGAAATTAAAGACTGATCTTTGTTAGTGGCCAAACTTGCAAAATCAGCAGCGGTTCAAATAATGTTTCCCCTGACTGTAAGTAGTTTAATTTTATTTTGTAGATGTAATCCTGCTTATTTGGCTTATTTAGAGGATTTGATTACTAGTTTAATAAACAGGGATGTGCTTCTGACAGGGTTGTGCAGGGATCTGTTTTTGACCGTCTACAAAGGTCTGTCCATGGACTGTCATGTGTACATCCAATTTATGGAACAATTGACAAATCCAGCAAACATGGTCTGTTCATGCAAAGCATGAACCTAATATATTGAGGATAACAGATCCTTCAAATATTTAAAGGCTGACTGTTTCCCCATACTTGAGGGTGTGACAGACTGAAATGAAAGTGAGGGAAATGTCTTGACCATAACTTTAAAGAAGAAATACGGATATTTTGAATGAACATTAATACCAGAAGAATAAAGATTAAAGTTTGTATTCTTATGTTTTGTTTGCTGTAATTATTAACAGAAAAATACACAATGTATTATGACGTTAATTCTAATGTTAATATTTTCTGTTCTAGACATCCCAAAGCTTCCCTCTGTGTCAGTGAGTCCCTCTGCTGAGATAGTGGAGGGAAGTTCAGTGACTCTGACCTGTAGCAGTGATGCTAACCCAGCAGCTAATTACACCTGGTACAAGGAACAACAACCGATCAGCCAAGAAAAGCAGATCATCTTCAGGTCCATCTGGTTTTCTGACTCTGGAAAGTATTGCTGTACCGCTGAGAATGAACTGGGCAAAACGATATCTAAAGTCATCACTATCAATGTGAAATGTGAGTGAAAAAACTTTTTGAAAACATAATTTCCCTCTGCTGAGATAGTGGAGGGCAGTTCAGTGACTCTGACCTGTAGCAGTGATGCTAACCCAGCAGCTAACTACACCTGGTACAAGGAACAAAACAGATCAGTAGAAAGCAGCAGTTAATCTTACAGTTAGAGAACAATTTATTTAGTTTATTATTGATTTACCAGTGTCAGTTATGTAGGGAAATAAAATAAGATTACAGTATGGATACATTTATGAATCAGATAATACACCCATAACCTGTGACCAAATGGTGTTGACAGTGCTTTCAGTCTCAGCTTTCATCATGTCCTCGAGATTTTCAGTTGGCTCAAGTTGGCTGTCAAAGACATCATCATAGTCTGCTTCATGAGCAATGCCTTTTTATCGGTTTTGTTTTGTTAGACCATATATTACTGTATCACACCCACAAAACAACCCGAGAGACATTCTTACATTCCATACAAAACACTTGAATAATGATAATTACCATAATGGGATCCAAAGAGCTCTTTACAAGTAAAAATACCAAGTGTGGGTTGTAATATTTTATCTGTTTTCCAGGCTGATTTTTGATGATCTATTTCATCATGCTGTCACAGTCAATGCTGCTGTATATCCAGCTCTGTTTTTCTTAAAAAGAAATCTTGTGGTGCTTTGTGTCTATGTGTTTGACATTTTCCAAATACAAGCTGAAAGAGAGTAAATGAAATCTTGTAGGATGGTGACCAGAGTGATATGAGCAAACTCTCAGGTTTGGCAATCAGTGTGTAGCAGTTTCACTGTTTGCCAGTCTACAGACACGGTCGTTGTCCTAAATATGTCAGAGAGAGTTTCATTGATACTTGCAACTGTGGAGCTTTTTAGATGAAATTAAGTGTCCTCCCATTAGTCCCATTAGCTAATGCTAACCACAAGTCTTACTGTCCTGTTTTCTCTGTATTTAGTGTTGAGGTCGACTTCAGTAAAACTCAAGATCTGCATGTTTTAACACACAAACAGTTGTTGTCCTGGCATTAGGTACAATCAAAATAGTAGTACAATGGAGTTGTTAAAATGTCCTAATGTTGGTTTTAGTATTGTTAAAGTTTAGAGTTTGATTCAGAATCGAGTCGTTAATTTGAAGATTTTGGTCTGATCGGTTAAATGTTTTATCTCCATTTCTATGTGATCCCGAATCTTGTAATCCAGTGACAAACGTTCAGTTTTGTCACTGTTTCCTAGACTCATGGAAAAAAATCGCTCCAGCTGCATTAATCGCTGTTCTAATTCTGGCTGTCATAATCATCTGTGGGATCATATTCATTAGGTGAGCAGTTCAGTTTTATTGTTGTTAAAAACGTCTTTAGTGATTTCATGTAATAATTCACTGATATGTTCATTCGTCCTTCTGTACAGAAGAAAAGGGTGCTTCAAAACAAATTCATCCAGAGAGAGGCCAGACAACAAGCCAGAGGTAAGGAAGAAGAGGTCAGGTATCAGGTATACATATATGAACCTGAAAAAGACAATTTTAATGTAACTTAATATCCTTGTACATGTCTGTATACTGCTGTCATACACTGCACAGTTGAAAGATAAAGTTAGCTGTTGTAGTACAGAAAAGTGGGTATTAACCCAACCAGATATTAAGCTGCGTATACATTTTGTGACTGTGGGCCATCTAAGATAAAGAAAAATGGTGGTGATAGCTTTGATTGTGTTTAATGTGGTTGTCCTATCTTAAACAGTGGAAGAACTTAAAAGGTTGGCTGTAGTAATCTTGTAAACAAAGATGGTCTGAGATAAAATCATTACAATGCTAGAAATTTAGGGTGATCCTCTCACAGTGTGCCTGCTGCTGCAATCAACATCTATTAACCAACCATCAGAAACGCAGCACGATGATCAGCTGTGCTGATCAACTGAGCACCAACACTCATGAAAACGACAAAACAAAGATGGAAGTATCTGGCTTTTAGGAGTTCCAATAAAGAGGAAGATCTAGTAGAGCTCTTGCAGCAGGTTGTTATATGACAGCTGCCAGCTGTTATCAAGTCTGAATCCAGTCTGATGATTCGGTATGGACACCAACAGCAGAGGAATAAAAGCTGATCATTATCATTGTGCGATTCGCATGCTTCAAACTTCATGTCCCACCCAGGTTTATGAGATCCACACTGCACAGTGTGGCTTGTAATGATTGATTTATAATACTGCACAGTGTGTGGGTACCTTTAGTTAAGACAGTGATTAATTGTAATCAGTTTTCATGTGTTGAGAAAATTACACTTTTTTGTTTAATGCTGTTGTTGGTGGCATTGCTCTTCCTTTGCTCGGGATATAAACCTCTCCAGGAATACAGATACAAGGTTTGGGAGGCTGTGGCTCAGATGGCAAGGGAGGGCAGGGGTCTAACCATAACCGTTAACCTTTAATAGTTATCTTGAATTTCAGGAAAATGCATATTATCACATGTTTGACCCTGAACCAAGTGGGCGTCCAAAGCGTGACGGCCCTTCAGCTCCAGCACAGAGTAGAGCAGCAGAGGAGCAGCAGGATGATCTTTGCTATTCCAGTGTAACTTTCATAAAGAAGCCAGAAGAGCACGACTACTACAACATTCTTCCCATTAAGGCCAAAAGACGAAAAGAAAAGAATGAAGAAGTAACAGATGTGGACTACACTATGGTCAGATTAAACAGCACTCAGAGGTGAGGACACTTATTTTCTGCGGGAATGTTTCCATAATTTCTTTGTTTTGATTTTCTAAATGCATTATTTATTTAGTTTTGGTGTAACTTTGGTCTAACTTAAGAAAAAAAACCACTTAATGTTACTGATATGGTGAGTTTATTGACATCATATTTACCTTTACAGATTAAGAGATCAACAGCCTGCAGAGTATTCATCAGCACTGTACAGCACAGTCAGGAAAAAGTAGAGTATGAACATGAATGTGTGACCTCAGTGTACATATTTAATGTTTTAGGAAGATACTGCTGTTTATAGCTGTGTTTGCATTTTGATAAAGAATGATGCAATATATATAACAAAATGTGTCCTTGGACAGTGGACTATTATATACGTTAGAGCTGTGTATATGTGTAACACATGTAACAATCATTACTAGTTTATTAGATGTTAATCTAGCTTGTACTGGAATATAAACTTAATACAAGAAGAAGCACTCTGAAAGCACAAACCACTCTCTGGGCAGTTTTATTTTTAAGGGAAGATTATTACATTTTGTATATGTATTTTGTATTCTTTATTCATTTTAAACTTGCTTTAAGAAGTTTGTAATGCAGTAAAAAAAAATGCAATGTGCAAGCATTTTAATATACTTGACGTAATTTGAGTATAATATTTTTGGGTTGTTTTTTTTTAATTCGTGTGGATATTGTAAATGTGTAAACATTCACTTCATTGTTTAATACAATTTGTTTAAATCTTTGGTGATAAGCATTAAGTGAATAAAGATTTGATTCGGTTTATTTTGTACATTCAAAATGTTTTGATGCATTCTCAGTCATCCAGGTAAGTAAATCCCAAAAAGTTGATTCAGTTCATCTGGATGTGGTGTTTTCAGTGGAAGAAACATTTAATCACTGAGCCAAGTGACTTCTTCAGTCTCAAAATGCTACGTCCAGATGAACTGAATCAACTTTTGGGGATTCAAAATGTTATGTATTTAAACTGTTATAAGATGTTAATCTAATGTACACAACAAAGGCATACTGAAATGAATCTGAAATCATATTGCTATTTTAAAAAGCTCTATGAAGCATTATTATTAATTTCACCTGTAGACTAATCTATTGGCCTTAAAGATGAAGTCAGAAGTCAAATGTGACATGAAATTTTACATTTTTATGCAGTAATTTCTTTCTTCTCATTTTAAAGGGGATTTACAGCCCTTTGTCTGTTCATGCACATTAAGCGTGTACAGAGGAAGTCAGGCAGCCAGATGTCTATCTCTCTAAAATTTTCCAACCACAGAAGAAATCATCTTCAGATCACATTTCTATCTCCATCCATTTTTACTTCTGAGAATTGCATTTCCTGCTCTGTCTCTCTGTGCGTGAGTGTGAATAACAGCTTATTATTTCTTTCTATTGATCAAGTTGTTCAGAGCCGACTGTTAAAACGGAGTGTACGACTGTGTCGCCAGGTTTAATCCCTATGCTTCACATTTTGTCTGGTACAAAAATGGGCGATACGTATATAAAGAGTGACATTTTTCACTTTTTTTTCTGTCCAGGGTGATTTATGGAACAGAGTGAATTACAGTAACAGAAGTATCTGTGTATTCATCAGTGTTCATTTCTTGAACTTACAGTGCCCCAAGTGCCCTTTTCTTGAGGCAGATTTGTTTTTAAATTTTTATTATAATTCTTTTTAATGTGTGTGTGCGTGTGGAGTCCTGTCTGTGCCCCTCAACAATAATATTTAACTATTAATCACATTTTTGCTAAATAAAAGAATCTAGCTTGCATCAGTCACATGACTACCATTAACCAATGATCGCTCTTAATGGCAGAGCGCGCTGGTTACGAGCTGGGAATGAGCTCGCAAAGAGCATGCACATTTTTTGCCGTCTGAGTGGTGCAGAGCTGTAGGAATAACACAAGTTAATTGAGAGATGCAGACTGATGCAAAAACAGTAAGTAGGTGTACAGCGTACATTGTAGTGTATAGCACACAGCAGTATTAGGTTATTATGTACACGTTGGTCAACTGTCTTGTGACAACCAGAGATGGGCAGTAACAATGTTGTAGCCCATCAGGTCAAAACATAGGCTACATTTGCTTTGCATTGTCCCCACCTGATGACAGTGGTATAGTATGATATGATTCCATATTAGATTCTTGATGAATGTGTGTTGTTGTTCTTCAGCCTGGTTCTATGTGTCCCTTTTTAACTTTGAGTACCCGCCCCTTTAAAGATCTCTGCACAGCCCTGGAGCAGAATAATATCAGTCCATGAGTCTCAGACTGAGGCAGAGCTGAAGTGTGAAAGCAGCTGCAGTCCAGCTGGTTTTCTTTTGTGTGGTTCAACAAAAACAAATTTTGTTCCAGTCATGTAAGGTTTAATCATAAATGTTCTAGGATCAACCTTCCAACTGACCAACTTACATTATCTGAGCCAAAAAGTTAGTTAATGCTTTTAAAATTATGACTAGCACACCAAATTTGTAACCTAAATTTGGCTAAGAGCAAACTTAACTTGATAATTAGAGTGGGTGGGTGTGGTGAATGGGTGGAGCAGAGGTTTTGGAGACAGTGTCGGAGGAGTCGGGCGGCCACAGCTGCCAGTCATCAGCTAATTGTGATTCCTCTATTTTGTCTCAGTAGGTCGCTGGGACCAGTGGTGTGTGAGTGATGACTGTGGTGTGCAGTGTGTGTTAATCACTGCAAGAATAAAGTCTGTGTGTTCTATCATTGAGAGACCCAGTGTCTGTATGTTGGGTCCCACAGTAACAATGAGTGATACAATAATTTATTTATTATTTTGTCCAAATTAATAAAGAAAACATCAGACATCACAGCGACGTGATTGGTCAGTTGCAGTGTTAATCCTGGACCAACATTATTATGATGATGCCGGTTCAGTCTTTGTTTAGATCACTGTGCAGATCAACTAATTAAAGACTCCCAAAACCATCAGGACAGAACTTCTCCATCAGACCCAAAAACAGTGGGACTTATTACTGTGAAGCCCAGAACACAAGAGGACGTCAGAACTCCAAAAACATGTAACCAGTGCAAAGAAAACAAAATATTCTTATACTTTGTAATTCCTACACTTTCTGTGTATCATTAGTATACAGATGGTGGTGCTCTAATTATAGCTCAGAAAATAATTTAGTCAAATGTGTGCCAATTCTTGATTGTGAAGACCTGGTCACTCGAATCCCAAATCATCAAAATATTAGAATATTTTCTTCCCCGCCATCCCTGATTTCCTTTAAATTATTATGTTTGTAATCTGTAATTTGGGACAGATGTATTAAAACACATCTGTGTATTGGCTAATTAAAAATATAACCAAAATTCAGGCAGCCCTTTAAAGTCCTATATTTGAACAAATTAAAAAAGCCCTTAAAAACAAAACCAGTGAACTAGTGGCAACTTCTGAATAGATTCATAGGTGTATTTCACAATAGTAAAGCACATAATATTTTTAACATTAGATTCTTAGAAAAAAAACAACTGGAATGTCCAGACGACACTCAAATTATCACTAAGAAAATAAATATGTAATTTGTGCATAACTTACACACCATTTTGAGATGGTGTCCCATGTACGTCCTGCCTACTAGCATCTTGCACCCTGCTGTTGGGTTGTCTCAGGGGGATCTTTTCACAACCTTCACCTGGGGTTCTTGCCTGGTGTGGTAGACCCCAGCCTCTATCGATCTTGTGTTTAGTGCCTCTGTGCTATCTTTTAGTCCGGCTTTGTAAAGCCATTGGCAGGATTTTCAATATCACCAACTTCTTCTATCTGCTGGTGGTACATGCTGTCCAGGGGCCTGTCTTTGATGGTTCATCTTCTTGCTCCTCTTCTTTCTCTGGTTTCTGCTGTCTGAGGTATTCACTAAGCATGTGATCAGCTGTTGCCATCTTCCTGATGTACTAAAGGATCTTTATTGTTTCATCTTGGATAGTGGTCTGACACTCTTTGTCTCCTTCCATTCACTTAGCTTACAGTCTCTTGTTTCTTTGTCTTGATGTCAGTAGCTTCTGTGTCCTCAGTTGATCAGGTTATTATCCCAGAGTATCTGATCACTGGCAGTGTGTAGGTGTTGATTCCCCAGATCTTTTTCTTTTCATTCAACTGACTCATTTTACTTGGTTTTCTCTCTGCAGGAATTTGGCAGTTGTGGCGTTCCTATAGGCCTCTTCATGAGTCCCATTTGCCTGTGGGATTCCAAGGTCTTTGCATCTATCTTCCATGTCAACAATGCTGCCTTCTGGTAGTACAATCGCCCCAGTTCTAACGACTTTCCCTACTTTTTTCCCATCCAACTACATTTATCCAGTCCAGATGTTGTTACACTAGCAGTGTGGATCGGTGAACTAATGTCTCTCCTGGCACACAGCTTGATACCATCCATGTTGAGGACATGACTAATGATTTCTTCAGCCAGTCTCATTGATGATTTGACTAAGGGTGTTCAGGCCTTTGTAGAAAGGGAGTGGGGACAGAGTATCTCCTTGGTAAATCCTGCATCCTTGACAGTGACTTGTTGGCCTCTAGTGTTGTTGGCCACATCCCTGTTGAATTCTTAATGAAGGCTCTCGGGTTGATCTTCTTCTGTTTCAAGCATTCCAGGATCCATCTGAATCCTGGAATCATCGTCTTTCATGTAGTCGATCCAGGCGGTGCACAGGTTGGTCAGTCTGGTTTTACAGTCTCAAGTGACTGCTCCGTCAACAAGGAGGTGTTTTGCCCCTCTGGTGTCTCTGCCTTTTTCCTTCTATGTGCCTGTTCATTTTCGCCCTATTAGAGGACAGGAGCTTCCATGTTTTA